GCTGCCAAAGACGAGGTGGCCGAGTGATTAAGGCGATGGACTGCTAATCCATTGTGCTCTGCACGCGTGGGTTCGAATCCCATCCTCGTCGCAGTTGAGTTATGTTGAGTCTACAGGTCAACAAGCTAAAGTTCTATAGGTAATGTTAAAAAATTGATTGCAATAAGATGGCCCTTTTAGTGATTCCTAATTCTTGCTCTTCAGTGGTTTCTTTTCATGTCTCCTTTTGAAATGAGCACAATTACGGCCCTGTGGCAAAACTTGCTAGATTACGACAAAACAGCCAGTGCCAGACACCTGGACAAAACTAGGCCAACCAATTGGCGGCTTACGTCACCCAAAAACAAGACTGAATTCACTCTTGGGGTGGCCAGCCTGAAGAGAAGTGCGCTTCCCTCCACAGGGCTGTGTGTGCTTGAAACAATCATAGAAATCCAAAGAAGGTGGTTTCAAATAATGGAATAGTAATAAGGAGCACTTGCCTGCAGTTGGTGGAGGTGAATAAGAACGCTGTTAAGCAGAGGTACAAGCGCAGAGCGGACGACAAGCTGGTTTTGCAGGGAATTAACTTGCCCAGTGGTGGCTGGGGCACTAACTCCAGTTACCGTCCACAGCCGCTGGAAGAAGAACACACGTACAGTGCACCACAAGGCAGAGAGAGCAATGCAACTAAGTAGGCTTTCAGGCAGCGGTATGAAGGACTAAGAAGACCATCACCATCCGAGTGAAGTTTGTCCATCCATTTAACGTCTTTCAGTCACTGACTCATCGACAGAACAGAGGAAACTAAAGCCTTGTGGAGAATGCGGGCATCGATCCCGCTACCTCTCGCATGCTAAGCGAGCACTCTACCATTTGAGCTAATTCCCCTTGTAGACTTGCTCAATGACTTGTGTGCCAAGCTGACATGTGCTCAACTTTGTTTGCTTTGTCAGGACAGCGCGTCCGGCGGTCCCTTTGAAAACAGGCTGCCAAAGACGAGGTGGCCGAGTGGTTAAGGCGATGGACTGCTAATCCATTGTGCTCTGCACGCGTGGGTTCGAATCCCATCCTCGTCGCAGTTGAGTTATGTTGAGTCTACAGGTCAACAAGCTAAAGTTCTATAGGTAATGTTAAAAAATTGATTGCAATAAGATGGCCCTTTTAGTGATTCCTAATTCTTGCTCTTCAGTGGTTTCTTTTCATGTCTCCTTTTGAAATGAGCACAATTACGGCCCTGTGGCAAAACTTGCTAGATTACGACAAAACAGCCAGTGCCAGACACCTGGACAAAACTAGGCCAACCAATTGGCGGCTTACGTCACCCAAAAACAAGACTGAATTCACTCTTGGGGTGGCCAGCCTGAAGAGAAGTGCGCTTCCCTCCACAGGGCTGTGTGTGCTTGAAACAATCATAGAAATCCAAAGAAGGTGGTTTCAAATAATGGAATAGTAATAAGGAGCACTTGCCTGCAGTTGGTGGAGGTGAATAAGAACGCTGTTAAGCAGAGGTACAAGCGCAGAGCGGACGACAAGCTGGTTTTGCAGGGAATTAACTTGCCCAGTGGTGGCTGGGGCACTAACTCCAGTTACCGTCCACAGCCGCTGGAAGAAGAACACACGTACAGTGCACCACAAGGCAGAGAGAGCAATGCAACTAAGTAGGCTTTCAGGCAGCGGTATGAAGGACTAAGAAGACCATCACCATCCGAGTGAAGTTTGTCCATCCATTTAACGTCTTTCAGTCACTGACTCATCGACAGAACAGAGGAAACTAAAGCCTTGTGGAGAATGCGGGCATCGATCCCGCTACCTCTCGCATGCTAAGCGAGCGCTCTACCATTTGAGCTAATTCCCCTTGTAGACTTGCTCAATGACTTGTGTTGCAAGCTGACATGTGCTCAACTTTGTTTGCTTTGTCAGGACAGCGCGTCCGGCGGTCCCTTTGAAAACAGGCTGCCAAAGACGAGGTGGCCGAGTGGTTAAGGCGATGGACTGCTAATCCATTGTGCTCTGCACGCGTGGGTTCGAATCCCATCCTCGTCGCAGTTGAGTTATGTTGAGTCTGCCGTGTCTACAGGTCAACAAGCTAAAGTTCTATAGGTAATGTTAAAAAATTGATTGCAATAAGATGGCCCTTTTAGTGATTCCTAATTCTTGCTCTTCAGTGGTTTCTTTTCATGTCTCCTTTTGAAATGAGCACAATTACGGCCCTGTGGCAAAACTTGCTAGATTACGACAAAACAGCCAGTGCCAGACACCTGGACAAAACTAGGCCAACCAATTGGCGGCTTACGTCACCCAAAAACAAGACTGAATTCACTCTTGGGGTGGCCAGCCTGAAGAGAAGTGCGCTTCCCTCCACAGGGCTGTGTGTGCTTGAAACAATCATAGAAATCCAAAGAAGGTGGTTTCAAATAATGGAATAGTAATAAGGAGCACTTGCCTGCAGTTGGTGGAGGTGAATAAGAACGCTGTTAAGCAGAGGTACAAGCGCAGAGCGGACGACAAGCTGGTTTTGCAGGGAATTAACTTGCCCAGTGGTGGCTGGGGCACTAACTCCAGTTACCGTCCACAGCCGCTGGAAGAAGAACACACGTACAGTGCACCACAAGGCAGAGAGAGCAATGCAACTAAGTAGGCTTTCAGGCAGCGGTATGAAGGACTAAGAAGACCATCACCATCCGAGTGAAGTTTGTCCATCCATTTAACGTCTTTCAGTCACTGACTCATCGACAGAACAGAGGAAACTAAAGCCTTGTGGAGAATGCGGGCATCGATCCCGCTACCTCTCGCATTGCGCTTACTACTTCTTGTCAATTTCGCCAAAGTAAGCCCAAAGTAAGCCCAAATTAGCCAATCACGTTTCTCCCCTGGGCTTACTTTGGGCTTACTTTTGACCAATCACGTTTCTCCCCTGGGCTTACATTGGGCTTACTTTTGACCAATCACGTTCGTCCTCCCTGTGGCTTGCTTGTCGGCGTTCGGTACGCTAGTGTTATCAGTGTCAGCTATCGGATACTGCCCAATCGCATTGGTGTTTTCATCTATTTATCAATCTTAAGGTAAGATATACTTTTTAGACGTGATGTAGCATTATCGGACACATTTTCTGCTTCATCCCTAGGTGTTGTCATTTCAGATAGCTAACAGTAACAGTGATGTTAATGTACGATAGCTAGCATTATGTTAATACTAGCTATCGTACATTAACATTACTGTTAATGTTAATGTATCGCTAAATCCATTCATGTGAATAATGACAGATCCAACCAGCTTTTGATTTTATCAGACACAAATGCATAATATTTATTTTATGAGAAATGTTTGTATTTTATTTCTGTTTGTGTACAACCAAAAACGAGTCTCAGTCTCCTGTATTGCTGGAGTGTGTGTTTTCATTTCAATACTTATCTTATTGCTGGAAACTTCAGTAAAAGAAATTAACAAAGCACTCCTTGTGGATTATTAATGGGTTTTATCAGGTCCTCTTCCACAGGTGTATACCATCAAGCACCTAGATTATGAATGCAGACTGCATGGTGCTTGATTAATACACCTGTGGAAAGGGACCTGATGAAACCCATGAACTGAAATCCCATCACATTACTGAGACCAGTGTTAGCTGTCTAGTCCTGCAAACTAGGAAAGCAGCAGGAAGGCAGCATACTTACAATAAATAATGTCATTAGTTTTAGCTGTATGAATGGTACCAATGTTGTGACGTTAGATACACTGTAACAGAGGTTTCCTCCCCTTATTTAAAAAAAATAATGCCCACAGACAAATAATGATTTAGCCCTGGGGGCAGGCAACCTCTGGTACAGTTGAATATACAATGGAATGTACACACTTACATGCAGGTATCTTTCAGATGACTAGAGGTAACAGTCTTTTTCTTATTTTCATTCAGAAGATGTATGCCTACCCAGTTTTTCGCCGCCAGTCAGCCAGGTCGACCAGACTTCTCATGGCGCCGTCGGAGGAGGCAAAGAAAGTGGAAAGTGGGAAGTCTGGAAGGGCTAAACCCAAAGAGGAGGTGCTGGCAGAGGCCACTACTTTTGTCACTGGCCACGGTGGAGACCCCACTGACAGGTTTTTAGTACTGGCTCACTGCAAGCTTCAGTTTGGCATGTACCAGGGCCAGAGATTTAGATGGCTCCTGGAGAACAGTCTTGGCTATGCAGTGTATTTAGTGCATAGTATTGCTAGGGAAACAGTGCAGGCAAACCCTCTGTCAGAGAATAAACAGCTGTTCCAGCAGTACACTTCTCGCATCAGAGAGATGACAGAGGAACTGGAGAAGTTTAGGAAGAAGCAGGAAATGCAGGCTAAAGCGCGGGAAACTGGAGACCAGGGCTGTTTGATGGTGGAGTTCGGAGAATTCCAGGGCCGCTCCATGAAGGAGGTTTATGAGGACCAGAGCAAAGAGGCCCAGGCCCTCATCAAGTACCTGGTTAAAGCAGATGCCCGGCCCAACACCAACATGGCCATTTTCAAGGCATATGTCTTGAAGAGACGCACATCTGCCTCCAGAGCCTCTGCACCTCCACCTGCAGCCTCCAGAGCCTCTGCACCTCCACCTGCAGCCTCCAGAGCCTCTGCACCTACACCTGCAGCCTCCAGAGCCTCTGCACCTACACCTGCAGCCTCCAGACCTTACACCTGCAGCCTCCAGAGCCTCTGCACCTACACCTGCAGCCTCCAGTGCCTCTGCACCTACACCTGCAGCCTCCAGCGCCTCTGCACCTCAACCTGCAGGAATCCAAACGGGCACATGGAAGCCTGCCACTGTGAAAGCGCTGCTGGCACGTGGCAAAAAGATGTCTCCCTCACAGCTGGCCAGAAAGCTGATGTCACCAGTTAAACCCTGTGAGTAGGAGTGTGAATTTTGAATTTCCCCTACAGCAGTTCTACATGTATAGCTTTACCATTTACCTGACTACACAGACTTGTCCACTGTTTTCCAGCTCCAGCACCGCGGTGCACCTTAACTCCAGCTGCAAAACCCCAGACCGAACACATGGCCCACCGGCAGCTTTTCCCTACTTGTAAGTATGCACCATCTTGCATACATTTGTCTCTGTGTATTAAAAGTAAGCCTAATAGTTTTAACATTTGTTCTCCAGGGACTTCTGAGGCTGATGATGAGGAACTGGTATCTGCTGCATCGCAATGTGAAGCACAGCTAGATACAGGTGTGGCATATGACACAAATGCAAATATTGTGAAAGTGTTTAATGAGCGCTAGGAAATATTATATTGTGGAAAATTTCTACATTTTAGATATTTTTCTTCACAGTGCAGAATTATATCACATCAACCGGAATGCATTCTTTGAGTGCACTTCTTAAAAGAAGTGTACACTGGGTTCTTTGCTGTTTCTTTCTGTTGTATTTCTGCACTGTGCCTGTTTGTGAGCTGCATTTATGGCATATAACTATCAAATGCAACAGTCAACCTAATATTGTTTTGCTGCCTGTTTGCTTCATCTCTCCTTCATTAGCTCTTGCAACCACTGTGCATCTGGAGGCCTGTGCCGATCCCCCTCCAGTAGCGATACCAGGTCTTCTTGTTCATCAGCCACCAGCTGAGCTTCCCAGTCACTGGAAGGATCAGCTTCCACCTTTCCAGCAAGAGTGGATTCGGCACACATTGTTCAAGGCCAACCCACGAACCGGCAAGCCAGAGCTAGTGGCCCAGCTGAAACTTTGGTGGCATCCACCTCAGCCCCTCCTCATTCACACCCAGCCTCCCGCCTCACCTGACCACTTCTTCTGTCGGCCGCTGTTCTTATGGATGCCCCATAAGATGTGGCTGTTTCCTGTTGTCTGTGTTCGTCCAGCCTGTGGCAAGCACCGACTAACAGCAGCAGGACTGTACCGAACAGTGCGCAAGGTGTTGGACATTGACGGGTGGTATGACCTTGCCACTGAGTACCTGGAGTGCAAACGCTGCTCAAAAAAGTATCCTGCTTGGTCCGAGGACATCTTATCACAGCTGGATATGGGCCACCGCAGCCAGTTTCCAGCGTTGCTAACATACAGGTAATTCATAATGGATGTCAATTATTAGGTGCTTTTATTTGTGTTGTTTGTGTTATTTTTTTAGACATTACACTCTTCTTTCCTTAGATACTCTTGTGACATCCGGGTGCTGAGAATGATGAGGGAGAGGACAATGGGCAACAGTGTGACTCAGCTGTACAAAAAGCTGCTGGAACAACACAGCGAAGCATGGACGCAGCGTGTCCTGCAGTACCTGACAGCTTGTGAACCATTCACAAGGTTTTCTGTTGTGCGCCCCCCTGCATTTCGCTGAGCCTCCCCTCTTATCTGCCCTTCCCAAGCCTAAGTGGCTGTTAGCTGTGTATGCCAGGGATGTTCTAGGGCGACTGCATGAGGTGAAGGCCAAAATAACCTCCATCTTTGGCTCTGTCCTCAAGATGGACTCCACAAAAAAGGTCACCAAGAAACTTGCTGGTGCTGCTGCAGGTACAGCTGCCTGGTGCACCAATGTGGGAAATGAGCACGGTCAAGTTCTTGTCTCAGTCCTGACAGCCGGTGAGGGACAAGCACTGGACGCTATGGCTGCTGGCCTGATGAAGCGGTACAGGGAGGCAGGAGAGGTGGCACCCAAAATCTTGTACGTGGACAGAGACTGCTGCAGTCAGCATGGCCCTTGTCGGGTGAAGGCCATGTTTTCAGAGTGGGACGGGCTTCAAGTGCGCCTTGATATATGGCATTTCATGCGCCGGTTTGCTGCAGGCGTCACAACAGAGGCTCACCCTCTGTATGGCATTTTTATGGCACGCCTGTCCACGTGCATATTTGAGTGGGATCCGGAGGATGTTGCTGCTCTTCGCCGCGCCAAGGAGGGTGAGCTGGCAGCAAGGAGGATTGGCCACATCTCCGAGGAGGCGGTGACCACTCGCATCACCCGGAGGGAGTTGGCGCTGCACTGCAGGAGGAAGACCAGAGGGGTGGAGGAGACCATCAGGCTGATTGGGTCACTGATCGGTCTGTTTGACGGTGCAAGTGGGAAGGACACTCTGGGCGTTCCTCTGCTGGACCACGAACGCATCCAGCAGATATGGCAGGAGCAGGAGAAACACGTGGGCTGTATCCAAGACCCAGAGGACTTCCTGCTCTACATCAAGACAGGCACCCTGAAGAAAGGAGGTGTGGAGCTGTGCTGCTACAGGTGTGCCCGTGGCTCTACCTCCCTGGAGTCCTTCCACCTCCACCTAAACAGATTTATTCCAGGTATTGCATACATATGGGTTACTAGTTTCTGATATTTCTAATATTACAGCCCTATTACATGTTACAGATTCTTCATAGCATCTCATACGTAGTGAATATCTTGCTCAATTGTGACAAACGCTTCTTTGTTTATTTAACCTTCAGGAACCAGTGCCAGTGATGCGCATTTCCAGGCGTATCTTCTTGAAGGGCTGATGCGCTGGAATGATGACCGGATGGAGGACGCCGTAAAAGGAGCACCTTCCATCCGCTCTTATGGCAGCGCTCTGAGAGAGGCAGTGGATCAGCTCAGCCGAAAGGTGCTAGGGAGACGCTGGGATGAGCGCTATCGCACCCCTGGAGCGTACACAGGTAAGAAATGATCCCTCATCCAACATGAGAAAGAATAACTTAATTAATTTGTTCTTTAATAACACTATTTATTAATCCATTTAACCTTTAAAGTATTATATATTATACAGCAATTGGGTTCTGTGGAATTATTTGTTTCTGATCCCCGGGACATCCCCACTCTGACACACTGTTTTAATGTTAGTTAGTTGGCAGTAGAATTGTTGTATAAAAGCAATATAGCACTTGTGATCGTGGGGTTGGTAATGGATAATCCACCGGTGTTGTTACCTGCGCTCGTGCCTACGGCCGAACAACACCGGTGGATTATCCATTACCAACCCCGCGATCACGAGTGCTATATTGCTTAAACATATTAAGAATACTTCCTTTTTTCTGTTTTGTTTTTGTAGGTGAATTGCTGGGAATGGAGTACTTGTACAACCAGACCGGCAAAACACTGACTCCAGTGCTCCAGAACCCAGAGGAGGAGGACAGGCTGGTGGAGGAAGTCAGTGATGAGGACGTACAAGATGAGGGATTTGCAGAAGAGATCACAGAGGACATCACAGTTCCTGTGCTCGAGGAGGATGACCCCTGCCGTCATCTGGAGAACAGGCCCTCACCGTTGAGTCCTCAGGCCCCTCCACCTCAGGCCCCTCCACCTCAGGCCCCTCCACCTCAGGCCCCTGCATCACCTGCTGATCTGCCGTCCACGTCACGTGATGGAGGACAACATCCTGCTGCTGCCCCTTCAGTGCTGCCTGACACCTCTGAGGCTACACGGGAGAGTGAAAATAATCTGTCCGACGAGGCTCAGGTAAGACACTTTAACGGCTATTTCAATCCAATCTCAAAGACATTTTATTTCCCATTTATTACTATTAATCAATCCATTTATTAGGGAGCAGTCATTGGACCGGATGGGATCGCTGGGTGGGACAAGGTCCAGGATCTCGCTGCTTACCTGGTGGGTCTCCGTGAGGTGTCTTACCTCACTGAGCTGCAGGTGATCCAGGTCATCCAGCTGTGGACAGCTCTCCCTGAAGGCGACAAGGAGCGGGTCGACTACCAGCCTCGTCATCAGCAGCGACTGACAAGTGGCCGTTTTAAGGCTCCCAAGCGGTCTGGAGTCACGCCGGGTGTGGAGAGCGTGAAGCGCTGCTTGATAGGACATCCTGGGGGGCCAGCTCAGTGGCCCAACACCAGCCGCTTGGTTGAGGCCATGTGCATAAGGCTGTGCACTTTGCACAAGAAAACCACCAAGAAGGCTGGATTGTCCACCCCCAGATGGTCTAAAATTCTCGGCGACTATCACCACATCCGGGACTTAGTGCTCAACAGTCCAAGGGTTATGGTGGAGACAATGATCCAGCTGTTTGAGCTTAATCAGCGGACACTCATTCAATGGTAGGTCAGGCTCATCATTTACCTCAAATTGACTGAATAGTTCTCTAATGAATAAATATCTAACACAAATGATCTTCTCTCAGGTTTCAACGGAGGCTGAAGAGCCAGGAGATGAGTATCCTTTCTCAGGGAATGGCTCCAACCAACCTGATTCCTGTGGCACCTGACCAGCTTCCACCACCGAAGGAACGACTGCAGCTCCTTCCTTCAGCATCAGGCCCACGGCATGAATTTGTCCTCCCTCCAAATCTGGAAGGGCAGGCTCCTGTTTTGCGGCCAGGCCGACGGCCAGCTGCTGCCACCAGGGAGTGCCCCATCGCACCTGCCCCCACGGCACCAGACATTGCACAGCCCATTGCAGCTCCTGGGATGTTGCCTAGGGTAGGGATTTGCATCCTCAACCCAGACAACACTGTGGCCTGCGTACTGCCAGCTTCTGGTGCCTCAACATCCAGTGCAGGCCCAGCTCCACTTGTTCCTGCACCTGCTACTCCTGTGTCCCGGTTCACGCACAGGAACAGGCGCCAGCGGGCCCTTGAGGAGGAGAGTGGAGTCCACAAGAGGAAATATGCAAGAGGGGTCACCTACAATACCTGTAGCCATTGTGGGCAGCCCAAGACAAAGGAGTTTGGGCACAGTCGTCATGGCAGTGCCACCTTCTGCTCACGTGCCTCAAATGGCAAATCTCTTGAAGAGTGGTTGGCAGAACAGAGAGCAGAAAAATAAGTTTTTAACTATGTTTTGCTTGTATATATTTTATATTGTGTGTTTGCGTGTATAGTTCCCTGTATGTATATAGTTTTATATAGTGATAATCTGAAGAGTGTGTTTTCATTTCAATACTTGTTTATTTTACATCTTGTGTTCAGATACATTAAATCTGATTATACCAACATTTAAGACTCAGCCTGTGCATCATCAAAAAAGCTCCATATTGTCCCACAGTCTTTGAAGGCATATTTTATTGTTATCATTCTATTAACAGAAACAGAAATAAACATCACAAGTCATTGGGGTCCATATGATCTTAAACCCAAAGCAGTAATCTTCATAATAAGCACAAAATAAGTATTAATCAATACAATGACATGAAATTGCTATGGCACACTTTATTATTATAGATAGATAGATAGATAAATATAAACATTACTAGGCATTGGGGGGCATATCTCTTAAAGCTAAAGCAAAAAGCTCCATATTGTCCCACAGTCTTTGAAGGCACATTTTATTGTTATCATTCTTTTAACAGAAACAGAAATAAACATCACAAGTCATTGGGGTCCATATGATCTTAAACCCAAAGCAGTAATAGTAATATACATATAAGTGATAGATAGATATAAACATTACTAGTCATTGGGGGGCATATATCTTAAAGCTAAAGCAATGCTCTTAATAATACACACGAAAATAATAAGTATTAATCAATGCAATGACGTGAAATAACTATGGGATTTCTGACCACTAAGGGGCGGCATAGCTTGGGCATTTAAATCTAGAACGCACCTTGTCCAGCAGACCGCAGGTTCGAATCCAGCTACGGCGGGTGACTCGATAAACATATAGCTCGAAATCGGTCACAACGCACAGGGATATCACCTGGATGTTGTTGCAGGGGAAAATATATCTGTTATTACATTATTCAGTATTTTTCCAGTATTTTTCACTTGCGTGAGGGGGCGGAAAGATTGGCTCCCTTCCTTTGCGCAGCGAGCGCTCTACCATTTGAGCTAATTCCCCTTGTAGACTTGCTCAATGACTTGTGTGCCAAGCTGACATGTGCTCAACTTTGTTTGCTTTGTCAGGACAGCGCGTCCGGCGGTCCCTTTGAAAACAGGCTGCCAAAGACGAGGTGGCCGAGTGGTTAAGGCGATGGACTGCTAATCCATTGTGCTCTGCACGCGTGGGTTCGAATCCCATCCTCGTCGCAGTTGAGTTATGTTGAGTCTGCCGTGTCTACAGGTCAACAAGCTAAAGTTCTATAGGTAATGTTAAAAAATTGATTGCAATAAGATGGCCCTTTTAGTGATTCCTAATTCTTGCTCTTCAGTGGTTTCTTTTCATGTCTCCTTTTGAAATGAGCACAATTACGGCCCTGTGGCAAAACTTGCTAGATTACGACAAAACAGCCAGTGCCAGACACCTGGACAAAACTAGGCCAACCAATTGGCGGCTTACGTCACCCAAAAACAAGACTGAATTCACTCTTGGGGTGGACAGCCTGAAGAGAAGTGCGCTTCCCTCCACAGGGCTGTGTGTGCTTGAAACAATCATAGAAATCCAAAGAAGGTGGTTTCAAATAATGGAATAGTAATAAGGAGCACTTGCCTGCAGTTGGTGGAGGTGAATAAGAACGCTGTTAAGCAGAGGTACAAGCGCAGAGCGGACGACAAGCTGGTTTTGCAGGGAATTAACTTGCCCAGTGGTGGCTGGGGCACTAACTCCAGTTACCGTCCACAGCCGCTGGAAGAAGAACACACGTACAGTGCACCACAAGGCAGAGAGAGCAATGCAACTAAGTAGGCTTTCAGGCAGCGGTATGAAGGACTAAGAAGACCATCACCATCCGAGTGAAGTTTGTCCATCCATTTAACGTCTTTCAGTCACTGACTCATCGACAGAACAGAGGAAACTAAAGCCTTGTGGAGAATGCGGGCATCGATCCCGCTACCTCTCGCATGCTAAGCGAGCGCTCTACCATTTGAGCTAATTCCCCTTGTAGACTTGCTCAATGACTTGTGTGCCAAGCTGACATGTGCTCAACTTTGTTTGCTTTGTCAGGACAGCGCGTCCGGCGGTCCCTTTGAAAACAGGCTGCCAAAGACGAGGTGGCCGAGTGGTTAAGGCGATGGACTGCTAATCCATTGTGCTCTGCACGCGTGGGTTCGAATCCCATCCTCGTCGCAGTTGAGTTATGTTGAGTCTGCCGTGTCTACAGGTCAACAAGCTAAAGTTCTATAGGTAATGTTAAAAAATTGATTGCAATAAGATGGCCCTTTTAGTGATTCCTAATTCTTGCTCTTCAGTGGTTTCTTTTCATGTCTCCTTTTGAAATGAGCACAATTACGGCCCTGTGGCAAAACTTGCTAGATTACGACAAAACAGCCAGTGCCAGACACCTGGACAAAACTAGGCCAACCAATTGGCGGCTTACGTCACCCAAAAACAAGACTGAATTCACTCTTGGGGTGGCCAGCCTGAAGAGAAGTGCGCTTCCCTCCACAGGGCTGTGTGTGCTTGAAACAATCATAGAAATCCAAAGAAGGTGGTTTCAAATAATGGAATAGTAATAAGGAGCACTTGCCTGCAGTTGGTGGAGGTGAATAAGAACGCTGTTAAGCAGAGGTACAAGCGCAGAGCGGACGACAAGCTGGTTTTGCAGGGAATTAACTTGCCCAGTGGTGGCTGGGGCACTAACTCCAGTTACCGTCCACAGCCGCTGGAAGAAGAACACACGTACAGTGCACCACAAGGCAGAGAGAGCAATGCAACTAAGTAGGCTTTCAGGCAGCGGTATGAAGGACTAAGAAGACCATCACCATCCGAGTGAAGTTTGTCCATCCATTTAACGTCTTTCAGTCACTGACTCATCGACAGAACAGAGGAAACTAAAGCCTTGTGGAGAATGCGGGCATCGATCCCGCTACCTCTCGCATGCTAAGCGAGCGCTCTACCATTTGAGCTAATTCCCCTTGTAGACTTGCTCAATGACTTGTGTGCCAAGCTGACATGTGCTCAACTTTGTTTGCTTTGTCAGGACAGCGCGTCCGGCGGTCCCTTTGAAAGCAGGTTGCCAAAGACGAGGTGGCCGAGTGATTAAGGCGATGGACTGCTAATCCATTGTGCTCTGCACGCGTGGGTTCGAATCCCATCCTCGTCGCAGTTGAGTTATTTTGAGTCTGGAGTCTACAGGTCAACAAGCTAAAGTTCTATAGGTAATGTTAAAAAATTGATTGCAATAAGATGGCCCTTTTAGTGATTCCTAATTCTTGCTCTTCAGTGGTTTCTTTTCATGTCTCCTTTTGAAATGAGCACAATTACGGCCCTGTGGCAAAACTTGCTAGATTACGACAAAACAGCCAGTGCCAGACACCTGGACAAAACTAGGCCAACCAATTGGCGGCTTACGTCACCCAAAAACAAGACTGAATTCACTCTTGGGGTGGCCAGCCTGAAGAGAAGTGCGCTTCCCTCCACAGGGCTGTGTGTGCTTGAAACAATCATAGAAATCCAAAGAAGGTGGTTTCAAATAATGGAATAGTAATAAGGAGCACTTGCCTGCAGTTGGTGGAGGTGAATAAGAACGCTGTTAAGCAGAGGTACAAGCGCAGAGCGGACGACAAGCTGGTTTTGCAGGGAATTAACTTGCCCAGTGGTGGCTGGGGCACTAACTCCAGTTACCGTCCACAGCCGCTGGAAGAAGAACACACGTACAGTGCACCACAAGGCAGAGAGAGCAATGCAACTAAGTAGGCTTTCAGGCAGCGGTATGAAGGACTAAGAAGACCATCACCATCCGAGTGAAGTTTGTCCATCCATTTAACGTCTTTCAGTCACTGACTCATCGACAGAACAGAGGAAACTAAAGCCTTGTGGAGAATGCGGGCATCGATCCCGCTACCTCTCGCATGCTAAGCGAGCGCTCTACCATTTGAGCTAATTCCCCTTGTAGACTTGCTCAATGACTTGTGTGCCAAGCTGACATGTGCTCAACTTTGTTTGCTTTGTCAGGACAGCGCGTCCGGCGGTCCCTTTGAAAACAGGCTGCCAAAGACGAGGTGGCCGAGTGGTTAAGGCGATGGACTGCTAATCCATTGTGCTCTGCACGCGTGGGTTCGAATCCCATCCTCGTCGCAGTTGAGTTATGTTGAGTCTGCCGTGTCTACAGGTCAACAAGCTAAAGTTCTATAGGTAATGTTAAAAAATTGATTGCAATAAGATGGCCCTTTTAGTGATTCCTAATTCTTGCTCTTCAGTGGTTTCTTTTCATGTCTCCTTTTGAAATGAGCACAATTACGGCCCTGTGGCAAAACTTGCTAGATTACGACAAAACAGCCAGTGCCAGACACCTGGACAAAACTAGGCCAACCAATTGGCGGCTTACGTCACCCAAAAACAAGACTGAATTCACTCTTGGGGTGGCCAGCCTGAAGAGAAGTGCGCTTCCCTCCACAGGGCTGTGTGTGCTTGAAACAATCATAGAAATCCAAAGAAGGTGGTTTCAAATAATGGAATAGTAATAAGGAGCACTTGCCTGCAGTTGGTGGAGGTGAATAAGAACGCTGTTAAGCAGAGGTACAAGCGCAGAGCGGACGACAAGCTGGTTTTGCAGGGAATTAACTTGCCCAGTGGTGGCTGGGGCACTAACTCCAGTTACCGTCCACAGCCGCTGGAAGAAGAACACACGTACAGTGCACCACAAGGCAGAGAGAGCAATGCAACTAAGTAGGCTTTCAGGCAGCGGTATGAAGGACTAAGAAGACCATCACCATCCGAGTGAAGTTTGTCCATCCATTTAACGTCTTTCAGTCACTGACTCATCGACAGAACAGAGGAAACTAAAGCCTTGTGGAGAATGCTTGCATCGATCCCGCTACCTCTCGCATGCTAAGCGAGCGCTCTACCATTTGAGCTAATTCCCCTTGTAGACTTGCTCAATGACTTGTGTGCCAAGCTGACATGTGCTCAACTTTGTTTGCTTTGTCAGGACAGCGCGTCCGGCGGTCCCTTTGAAAACAGGCTGCCAAAGACGAGGTGGCCGAGTGATTAAGGCGATGGACTGCTAATCCATTGTGCTCTGCACGCGTGGGTTCGAATCCCATCCTCGTCGCAGTTGAGTTATGTTGAGTCTGCTGTGTCTA